GCCTACAGTATTTTTACAGTCTTTATTTTACTATTGAAATATATGTTTATTAAATAAAATCTAATGTTACAACTAATCGGGGATCCCTTTAAATTCCCTTTTAAATGATGCCACATTTGTAAGGAACATGCATTTGTCAGATGAACAGCAGAGCTGAGTATGTGGGTTACACACATGAAGAATTTGYCAAATCCTCTCAMATTTCCRTACTTTTTGTGCCAAGTTSAGTTAACAGACTCACCTGTCCCATACTGAAGTGTCTCTTGAAGGATCCAAAGAGATCATAGATCAGAACCGTTCCATCCTCCTGAACACACAACAGCTCATCACTGAAAGACCAACCCAGGTGGACCACCGGACCGCTCTTCCACTGAGAGACACAGGTGAGACAGACGAGRGGTACAATCCTGTCATTCCAACACTCCAGCAGTATAACAGCTAAGCTRACGTGTGATTGGCTGTTGGGGATCTCAGGTGTGCTTCTTTACTCACAGGGAAACTGGCAATGGCAACTCCTGACGTGGAATAGATCTCTAACTGAGGACGTGAACTGGGAGACCGCCTGTGGGGTTCTCTGAGCAGGGCTGAGACAGAAACATGTCTTCATGTTGACAAACAAACAAACTGTATCTGTTCATAATAAACAATAACAAAAACATGAAGGGTGAACGYACCAATCGGTCCTCCGTACGGAGCTGTGGCCACCAGACTGTCTTTGAGTCCATCTCTGATGTTCCAACACATCTCATAAAGCTCAGTTTTCCTGCATGAAAACAAGTACACAACTCGGTTAACAACAAACACACAACACAATTAACAACACAAACAACAAACACGATTATTCTGACGAACAGAGCATCACATGTATTAAAGCTCAGTTGTCTTGAACACAGGCTGCTCGTCTCTCCCACCAGACTCCATTCATTATTTACACATTTTAACAATTGTTTCTTCTGATTCTTTTCTCTTAAAATATTTTACATGATGTCACCTAGCATGTTGAACACAATGAGGCTAGAGGCGCTGTCACGTGACTTTTCATGGTCTGAGCGAGCAGCCATCTTGCTCAGGGCGCGGACTGTGCAGGAAGAAAACCTTGTTTCTGAGTGTGAATTTGTGAATGTCCGTGCTGTGAAAACTCTCAGAGGTCCATGAACAATATGTCCAAAACAATAATAACTCCACAGAAACCACTGTTTGCTGTTAAAGCTGAATGTGGCAACATGACATGTTAAATTTAGATCAGCACATCAGTTACACTCAGTTTGATATTTACAACCATTATTTTTGATTGAATAGAAATGTTTGTCAGTAAATATTATTAAATCAGGTAAAACAATGTACACATCTGCAATGAATGATGTTTCTAAAAGGCAGAAGATAACGAAAATGCATAATAACCAAAATAACACTTTTTCAGTAACGATAAATTCARATTCATTTTAGTAAAAATTGCTATTGGGAATACAATGGTTGCTAATTTAACCTGCAAAAATCAGTAATATAGTAAGTCAATTTAATTTACTACAGTTATAACAAATAATCAAACTGTAAGCAATCAACTTCAAAATCACWCTGGCACATCGGTACACAAGTACTAACTACATAGTAATATTACCATAGGCGTAATTTAGGGGGGTTATGACCCCCACACAATAATTTGATCCAGTCAATATAACTCCCCTAAAAAAATGACATCATTTGCTCAAACATAATAAAAATGAACTGATTAAATAGACAGGTGCAACTCTCGTGTTGTTTTTGAGTAACTTTGACCTGATTTTAAAATGTACAATGTCATATACAGTATGTATGTTTAAGCATAACTGCTGAAAATGACATGCAGGATTTTAGAGCATAACCCCCACAATGGTAGACCTAAAGTTGTACCCTTGAATATTACAGCTTGTGTAATTCATTGATTCAGCTCATCATCTCATTTGACAGCCCTTACATATGAAGGATTTATTATGCAGTTCGTTTTTCTTGCAAAAATACACACCCACTGCATGAGTTTTTTGGACTGAAAACATACTTATGATCATATTTTTGCAATAATTAATAAGCTGGTATGATTTGCAAACCTGATATGGAAGATATGTAACAATAAACTCTCACKGGGTAACAGCAGCAGAGCTAACAGGAAGTCATGTGACCCGCCTGTTCGGATGAAGCTGCAGCCGAATAATAAAATGTCATGAGCCGCGTTAAACAGACGYTTCCTTCACTTCACGTTAACCTGCCGTCAGGTGACAACACGCACGAGCACACCTGCAGGTGGCCGTCGGTTGACAGCTAGGGCTAAGGCTAGCTGTGTGGATGTTAGCCGGAGGAGGACCTAAAGCGGCTCTGAACTCACCGGTAGAAGGCATCTCCCAGCGGGTTCCAGTTAGCTGTGATGAAGGCCATGCTGCCGGGTCCGTGCGGACCGACAGRAGATCTGAGTTTACTGTGTGATAAGGATTCTGACACCGACTTTTGAATAAAACTACCTGTTTTTGTATCGGTCAGCTGACTTCTTACTTTTGTTTTGTTTTTTTTCCTCGATGTTTCGCAGCTAGCTTACAGGTGCGATAGCGCCCTCTGCTGGTCCGGAGTTCTCACTATGATTTAGAAAAAAAATACCATTATAGTTAAATTCGGTTGCACAGATAAGTTCTCTTTAGTACCTAATCATTAAACTCAAGAGGATTTGCGAGGCTCTTCCTACAGCAATATAATAAACAACTTTAATTTTCTTTTTTTAAATTAATCTTGTAATAATTTTAAACATGATGTTTTACAGATTCTGTCTGATTGCTTTCTTCTTTGGCAAAGAGTGACTTTAATCCCGTCTGGTCCGTCCTCAGACTTTTAACAAGAGAAGTTTAAATACTGTTAATGTGGACACAGACAGCACTCTGAACAGAACCTGACAACTCGGGATGAGTCGAACCGGGTCGGTCCACAGCAACACAAACAGAGGAAGAGGAGCAGGCTTCCTTCCAGATGACTTCACCTGAAAAACATGTTGCCGTGGTAACAGGCTCCGCCCCCCTGGGTGTGGTAAACAGCTTCAGGCTGAAGAAACAGGAAGTTAACCCTTTCAGCTCATTACCTTTACTTCACAGTAAAATCAAGTTAATGAGCTGAAAGGGTTAACTTTATTTTTCTATGTAATTGGGTGTTTGCTGTAGTGCTTAGCAACATTATCTACGTTTATCCTTTTTAATATGAATAATTTTTAGTTTGTACTTTTTTAATTACAATCTTATTAGAGCTTATTAGAGTTTAGAATCATAAAAATTACGTTCTGATTTGATGTAAACAAACCATTTAAGAAACATTTTGTTACTTTTGGCAATATCATAGTATTTAATTTGAATTGTTTACTAATTTTCTTTAATTTTTATTATTTCTAAGCTGTCTGTCTTTCATGCCTTTGATGTTTGTTTGTTTGCTTGCTTTGTCAGTAAAAACTGTTGTGTTGTTTTGTTTTTTAATCTTGTGTTGTTGACAGTAACRCTTCAGTCTGTCTTGTTCAGCAGGGAAGGAGTTAAAGGTGTGGACGTTTCCTCGGTTGGGAAGTTGGAAAGTTTTCCTCACAGGCAGCCAATCAGAACACACACAAACACACACTCTTCGAAGGGAGTCCAGCCAGAGTCTCAGAGGGGTTTTGTTTCTGCAGCCGGAGTTAGAAAAGTTTTTTAGGCATTTTTTTTTTTTTTAGTTTGACATCTTCAACATGGTGACTACTGAATCCCACCAGAGCCAGGATCTGATGGTCCCCCATGAGAACCAGGATCAGAACCAGAACCAGGAGCTGCAGGAAGAGGAGCAGGCCTCGCCCTCCTCTCCCTCAGCAGTATTCGACTTGGAGAAGTTCAGTCACGGTCCCGTCAACGCCATCACGGTCCTGACGCTGCTTGACAAACTGGTCAATATGCTGGACACTGTGCAGGAGAACCAGCACAAGATGGAGGTGAGGCGCACTCCATGGTCACACCTGGGGAAGTCCAGTTACAAAACATCAGTTTTAGGTCTTTGTTATGGTTTAGATGTGTTGTTCTTACAGCTGGGACTTGACGACAGCAGCTGGAATAAATCCAGATGCTGAACAGATGGATTTCTGACATGTTTTAGGACCTGCTTTGTGTAGAAAGGTCCACATTCTAGTTCTTCAGAGGTTCTCAGTGGGTTCTGACAGTTTCCTCAAGAACAAACTTGGCTGTGATCCAGAACTCCGCTTCCTGTTTGTGCTGCAATGAAGATCTCAGATGTTTCTCACCAGGCTTGTTGGCAGGTGTCAGACCATCAAAACATGTTTGAGCGGGCCGTGGTTCTGTCAGACTGGATCCTGAAAACCTGTCAAGAGTTTCTGACAGCTGGAAGTCTTTGAACTTCACTCAAGAGAAGGAAATCTATCTGGTTAATAAACTGTATCACACCATCCTTGATCTGAGCAAACATCTACAATAATCTAGCCAATAACCTTTTTTTAATCCATCACCTGTCGTAAAAATGTAACAATCTACTACATTAAGTTATCACTAATCAGTGACCAGTATTCTGAAACAGGTATGCTCTGTCCTCATGTATCAATAAWCTATCATGTCAATAAAAACAGAAACTGTCCAGGTTGGTCCTCAGGCTTCTCCCTRTAATTAGTTTTTCATCAATCATTGATTGGTTAATTCTCAGGTTTCACCCTTTGATTGTTTTTTGATCACTCWTTGGTTGGTCCTCAGGCTCCAACCTCTGATTGGTTTTCAATTGGTCATTGGTTGGTTCCTTAGGCTCCATCCTCTCATTAGTTGGTCCTCAGGCTTCACCCTCTAATTGGTTTTTGATCAGTCATTGGTTGACCCTCAGGATCCACTTTTTGATTAGTTTTAAAGTGGTCATTTGAGGGTCCTCGGGCTCCTCCCTCTGATTGGCTTTCAACTGGTCATTGGTTGGTCCTCAGGATTCACCCTCTGATAGGCTCTCAATAGGTCATTGGTTGGTCCTTAGGCTCCATCCTCTCATTGGTTGGTCCTGCAGGGTCCACTCTTTAATTGTTTTTTTGATCCGTCATTGATGGGTTGTGTTTCAGATGCATCAGGTGGAGATGGAGGGTGTGGTCAAAGGGATCCAAGCAGACATGACTAAACTGTCCAAGAGTCACATTCACACCTCCAACACCGTCAGCAAGCTACTGGACAAGAGCCGTAAGCTATCTGTCACCATGAAGGAGGTCAGAGAAACTGACACCTGTCATTCCAACCTGGCACAGCTGTCTGGTAACTCGTCATACTGAAGACCTGTGGTGCTGATGTTGCAGGTTCGTGAAAAGATGGAGCGTCAGGGTGCACAGGTGAAGAAGTTGGAGGCAAACCATGCCCACCTGATCAGCAGAAACAACTTCAAAGTGCTCATTTTCCAGGTGAGTGACAACAGAGTTCAGCTACTCCTGCATGGCATGCTGGAAAATGTTGGCCCTCCTACGGTGTTTTGGTCAAGTGATCTGCTAGGCTTCAGTAGGTAACCTTATATGGTCGTGTGTTTCTGCTGAAACTGACCTGGAAATCTTTTTGGGAAAAAGAATAATCATAAGATTTTGTTGCCACAGTAACTGAGTTAATGCTGTTTTGTTATTTCTGTAGTATCACTGTGAAAGAGTATAGTTACAGGTACTCTGAACGTGCAACTGTGAGTTTGTGTGAAGATCAGTGATCACCTTCCTTTTTCTGTCTTTTCCCACCCAACATTTCCATTCTCTCAAAATACCCAGCATTCCTTAGTCCATGTGTGAGTGTGTTCTGGAGTCAGGGTGTGGTTCTCTGTCAGCACTATCTATTTACTCCAATCGAACTTCACTGCAACATGTGCAGTCAGTCAAATATGCATTTAATCATCTACAACCCAACATACACAGACAGGGCCTGCCTGTGGCATAGGCAATATAGTCAAATGCTGAGGGCGCCGTCCATCTAGGTGGCGCCATAAATGTGGGGACAAAACTTGTTTTGTGAGTTTCTCAGTCTCCTTTGTTACTACATGAGGTCATGTGGTGCAGAGGATAATTCATGATGAAAGGATCATATGATGCAGTCAAGACTAACTACTGGTGTTTAGTGTGTAGAAAAAAGGGTGATGTAATTTCCAAATATGATTTTCAGATAAAGTTCAGGTTTAAGTATGGTTTTCAACATTCTACATTCATAAAATACTGATTTCATGTTTTATTAATTTCAAGAATTTAGTAAAATGCTCTTGAAATGGCTGTAAAATGAATATCTTTGAGTAGATATTTTACTAAGTTTTAAACAAGTACTAACTGCATAGTAACGTTACAGATGTTAACAGGTATGAGGTAGACGTCTGGTAATTTTTTTAATGAAATATACGGTATTAACTATTTTAATTGGACAACCTGGTTTCTGAATATAAAACATGATATCAAAGCAAAACTATTTAATTTGGTATGGGAATGAATGAATTGGCAAGGAGATTTAGAAAATTTCACCTGAAATCTTGCCTAGATAGACAAATTGGCCAGGGCCAGCCCTGCGCACAGGTAATCAATCAATCAATCGATTGATCAATCAACCAACCAATCAATCAATCCCTTCTGAGTCCAGAACATTGTGTGATAGGGTTAGCTGCAGTATCAGTTTGATTCACTTCATGCCGATGTGTCAGATGACATCAGGGACCAGATGATAGACTTGCTGATGGACAGTCGGGCTTCACACCTCAGTCCTGTAGAAAATCTGTGGAGGAGCTGAAGCTTTTGTAAAGAGGAATGGGCAAAATTCCTCCTGATGTGTTCAAACCTGAACCTGAAGAAATGTAGTTGCTCTACCAAGAACAGATTTAGGCTTTTTGGGGGATCAAACACCTATTTCACAAAATTAGAGACCGTTTGTTTTTCTGTAAGTGGGCAAACTTACAAATCAGCAGGAGTACAAAAGATTATTTCCTTCAGTGTAAAGTTTCAGGACCATTCCTCAGTCTTCTCATGGTTTAAATCAGGTTCTGGTCTGAGGTTTTGGGAAACCAGAGCAGTGCAAAGACCATATCAAGGATGAGGAATAGTTCACAAAAGGAGCATTTACTTTGAATTAAAATTAAAATGATTTACTGTGGATAAAAACAGGAATTTCAGAGATTTTCTTTATGAAACAAATTTTTTAAATCCAAATATTGATTATGACTGCAGATGATACAGTAATTTTGATGTTTGATGGTTTTCCTACAGATTCTCTGAGGTTTTCCCTTTGCCCTCCTTCTCTCTGTTATAGGAGGAAAATGAGATCCCCACCACTGTTTTTGTGAAAACTCCTCCTCCATTCCCTCGGGATGAGGGTTTGGAGGAAGGTGAGCCACCTGCACCAGGCGTCAGTGACAGCCAACAAGAACCCACCTTCAAGACCATTGATCTGTCATCTGATGAAGATGTTGGCCTGGAAGCTGACCTGGAGGAGGATGACTTGTGGGCTCAAGATCTAGAGAACATGGAAGAGTCCAAAGCTGAGAAACTGAAGCGATCCAGCATGAAGAGGGTAAACCCATAGACAGGTGAGCAGATGTCCAGGTGTTTCTACAGTCACTGACGCATGACTGCGTGGCTCTTTGCAGGTTGACAGTCTGAAGAAGGCGTTCTCCAAGCACAACTTTGAGAAAAAGATGAACAAGATTGGAACAAAGCTGGTTTCTGTAGAACAACGAGAGAAGATCAAACAGAAAACAGCCAGCCTGAAGTTCAGCATTAGGAAGGTACAGAAGAGCCTGCTCATTCTAAATCAGGTTCTGGTGTGAGATTATGCCSTGSTTTAAAGGTTCTGCTCATGTTTTCAGCCTCGCAGTAGCTCCGACTCTCAGCCCCAAGAGGCCTCTGCTAAGACCGAGGACTCGCCCTCTGCTGAGGCCGACATCCAGGTGCCATCAGGCAGCACTGAGCAGGAGGTCTCCTTCACTGATGTCCATGCTCAGCTGGCCCCAGCTGAGCAGCAAGAGTTGATGAAAGAAGACATGGAGGAGGAGGTGGAAGAGAAGGTGGAGGTGGAAGAGAAGGTGGAGGTGGAGGAGAAGGTGGAGGTGGAGGAGAAGGTGGAGGTGGAGGAGAAGGTGGAGGTGGAGGAGAAAGAGGAGAAAGTGAAAGAGGTGGCGATTGAGGGCTCTCTGGTGGTAGAGGCGGATGTGTCTGTGGTCTCTGAGGGAGTCAGTGAGGCATATGCTCTGTCCTCCACCCTCCCTCAGGAGGACAGACGAGCAGCAGAGGAGGAGGAGGAGGACAATGATTCCTAAGCGCTAATTAAGAAATCTGACCAACCACAGTCTAGACCTTGTTAAAGGAGCCAATCAGAATTTTGATGAATCATTGCACTCATCATTATTCAATCAGGAACTTAAAAAAGTTCCTACATGTTTACTCCATACAGTCAGTTAAATGTTACCTAGAGGTTCATCTTGTGCATTTCCACACTGTTCCCTTAATTTTTCCCTTTATAGGCTTATTTCACATGACCTCATGATGCACGAGTGAGAGTACGAAAYGCAGATGGAGGGCAGGAAGTGAAGTATCAGAGGATCTGCCATCTGAAAAAAACCCTCGTGTTTTGTGTAGTTTACAGCTGCTCCAATTGTTCAAACTGAGAAAAGGAAAAGGAGTATAAAAGGGATCCCAGACCAGTTGTAACATTAGACTTTATTTAATAAACATATATTTTAACTGTAAAATAAAGACTAAAAATACTGTAGGATGTTTAGTTTTTATCATTTTTAAACTAAAAGTTTAAAAATATATTACACGGACGGGGCCATTTTATTCACATGCAAAGCATTCTGGGTAAATGATGACGTGGGTACATCATCGGTGTGAGGCTGCTAGCGAGCTATAGCCATGTTGAAGGTTAATCTTGGACAATATCTGATGATCGACTCTTTTAAATGAAACCAGAGAGCGTTGACAGAGAGGAGAAGGTAGAAATGACTCAGTCTGTAACTGAAAATATGGATGGAGGACCTCAGTTTAGCTTGTTTGTCGCACCAGCACTGAGCTAATACATATAAGGCAATATAGCATCAGCGCTAGCGCAAAAGCTAACAGGCTAAGCTGAGGTTCTTCTTCCATGAAGCAGCTCTGTTGTCCTCCATCCATATTTTCAGTTMCAGGCTGAGTYATTTCTACCTTCTCCTCTCTGTCAACGCTCTCTGGTTTCATTTAAAAGAGTCRATCATCAGATATTGTCCAAGATTAACCTTCAGGGTGGATATAGCTCGCTAGCAGCCTCGCACCAAGGACCTATCCACATCATCATTTACCCAGAATGCTTTGCATGTAAATAAAATGGCTCCGTCCGTGTTAAAATATCTTTTTGAAAATGTACAAAACTAAACAGCCTACAGTATTTTTACAGTCTTTATTTTACAATTAAAATAAATGTTTATCAAATAAAGTCTAATGTTACAACTAATCAGGGGTCCCTTTAAGAGTACCAAAGATTGTCTTACACAAAGGTGAGAAATGTAGAATGCTCACAGAGCAATGTCGTAAAAAGTGGATTTTATACCAACGTCAATGGTCCGGAGGAGCAGAGTCTGCCGGCGTCTGCAGTGACCACTTCGTCAGAGGTATTACTTTTTTTTGTGGCTGTGTTTATTAGCATTAATTTGTCATAAATTGCTCATTTATTAGTACTAATTATTAAGTTACAGATAGTCTAATATGGAGCTAATCTGGACTTTTTAGGCTGCCCTAGTGCAATGCATGTTTGTTGATGTTAGCCACCACTGCTAGCATCTTGGACATATAAAACAATATAAGAAGAAACACTCACCCTGCAGAAGATTAAATGATAATCATCGTGGAGCCGTTTGGTACCAAGGTTGAGGACCCACCTGCTGACAAAACAGTCACACACCTCCAACCTTTTACAGGCTTCAGTGTAGTAAGCAGTTTGAAGGACCAGATAGTTTGAGTCGATTATCAGCAAATCTAGGTTCTGTCAAAAACTCATTCATCTTCATGTGATATGAGTCATGTCKGACATATTTGTGTACCAATTGCTGGTATTTTTGTCTTGAAATGGGATCTAATACGGACTCTAACTCTGATTTCCTCCATAGACATTTTACTTCCTGCCCTCCATTTGAAATGCATCATCAAAACCACGTGACTGAAACCCTATTATCCACTATGGTCCTGTTTCCCTCAATGTTCCCCTTATGTTCTCACAATGTTTCCCCCACTCTGACCCAGACCTACATGTTCCCTCTAAAGTTTCCATTTCATGTTGCCTCAATGTTTTACACAAAGTTCTCCAATGTTCTCTGATTTCACTACATGCCTTTCAGAGGTGGATCTTAAACACATTTGGAGATGAGAGCAGGAAAAAGCTGAATGGTTCCTTTATGTTCAGAGTTCTAATTTAGATTTATTATTGAAAAAATATTCTAAAATGTTATTTTTTGAGTGGAAACCTGATCACACAGCTTATGTATCTGCTTGTGTGAGAAGATTTTCCTCAATTTTAAGAAAATATATGTCTGAAACAAAAATGTTAAAGAAACTAACACCTTGTATTGTTGTTTTGACAAAGTGTCGGGTTAAAGTTTGTATGATGGTATTTTATCTTGATCTGAAAACTGTAGCTAAATGTGTTGGAATACATGATGTTTGTAATTACTATTAATTTAGGCACATGCAGCTGACACATTAAATATATACCAATTATCCTGAGTTGAAGAACCTCCCAGGTGACTCTTTGCCACACAAACACCTGAAAGCCAAGTATACCTTTTGATGTTCCACCACTGAACCACGTGACTTCAATCTGAAAATCGTAAAGTTGTGCCATGATTCCAGTGGTTCTTGTGAGGTTTGTGCCATCATTCAAAGGACAATTTGTCTTATAGAGTTCTTCAAATGCTTCTCAAACATTTCACTAACACTTCTTGAACTTTCCAGATCCTTCAAARTTTCTGTACACATCTACTGAGATTTGTTTCATTAGTATTATTCGTGTTCTCTGTTTGTTCTTTCCTCACTTTCCTTGTTCTGAAATCTTCAGTGGTAAATCTTTGGTTACAAGAAGCTTCTGTCACTCAGCAGTTGTTTCACTAAGCCTCAYACATTTTTTATAGGATTTGAATGGTTTTTTCCCTAAATTTCCCTTTAGTGTCAAAAAATTCCTCATAAATTAGCCTGAMGATAAAACTGTTTTGTTGCCAAAAGTTATTTTATCCTCTAATGCTGTAGGTTCTCTTACAATTTTGAGCTTCTTAAGGGTGTTTCCTGATGTGTTTTTTAAGGTTCGTTAAATGTTCGATCACTCTAAAGGGTATTTATCACCATCCTCAGAACAGGTTAACAGGTTTCTGTGATGTGTTGTCCTCCAACATTCCACTTCAGTTTCTGGAACATTATCCTGATGTTGTGTAAACGCCCCCACCCAAACATTCCCTTTTCATTCCACGGATGTTCCGTGTACACAGGCTTTAATGTTCTCCTAATGTTCTGCCAGTGGTATCTTATACTAGTATCCTAACATGTTCCAGACATCCCCAAAAAATCTTCCATTGTTTTTTCTGCAGCAGTGTACCAATGTTCTCCTGAGGGTCATTAACTGTTCTGTCATGGTTCTCTGCATAATGTTCCCTTAACATTTTTCAGGGGTAGTGTTTTAGCTGCTGGTCACTGTTTTAGTTTGATTACTATCTGACAGGGATCATGTTATAATTTTAAATTCATTCATTGGTCAATACGTTTTGTACCTTTTGTTTTTTCTGATTGTTTAACTGCCTGTTTGCAGTTTTCAGATCATCAGAGCTGTTCTTATGTGTTTAAATCAGTTTGAAACTTTGCTGCCAAAGATTTTCTTTCACACTTGTTGATTGATCACCAAGTAACAAATAAAATGTGTGACACCATACTCCTGCTTTGTTATGACTTCTTTAACATTTTAGTTTTTTTTTTTGTTTGGTACTTACAGCCACTTTTAGATTTAATAAAGTTTCACACATTTTGGGTTTGTTTTATACATTTTAGAAAGGAATGTTTCCTGTGGGGGAAAAAAAAACGAGTTTTTCCCAATTTGATAATAAGATAAAAGCATGCACAGATACTTTGGCTTAAAGCTTATTTCTACTCAACTCTGACCCCTGGTGCATGTAGCWGAGAATTAAATTTAGCAATCCTTACAAAAGCAGCAGGCCCTGTTTAACCAACACAAAATTCTTTTCAAAGAGGATTTACGGTAAATTATTTTTTTGCACAGTTTGACTAGGACAAACCACCCTCACACTGAGCTGACCTTCAAATCCAGATAGACACCTCCATGCTAAGACCTCATGAGGTGAGAAAAGCTCTTGATCACATTGGTTGCTGCTGGTATTTTGGGGGTTAGTGCATGTCTTCATCAGTCTCTGTAACATCATCATCATCAAACTTTATTTATAAAGCGCTATAACATCAGCCACAGCTGAAACAAAGTGCTCTGAACACATGAAATAAAAACTCAATTCAAAAAACACAATAAAACCACGTAAAATCAGCACCAATGCAGTAGAAGTGGAGTAAAATCAAATCTCTGTTGGGTTGAAGTCCAGTGAGAAAAAATAAGTTTTCCGGCGAGTTTTAAAAATGGACAGCAAAGGGGCCGAACATGCAAACAGACCACTGTCCCTACTTCCCTCAAGTCAACCAAAGRATTCTAGAGTCAAATATGAGTCAATCTGTCTAACAACTGCAGTTTGGAGCAAACTGGGTCTAACAGGACAATGATACCAAACACGGCAGTTGATTTACAACAGAACGAGTCAAAAAGAGAAGAACCAAAGTTCTGCAGTGGTCCAGTCAAAGTCCAGAACCTCAACCTGTTTGAAACCCTGTGGTGGTATACTCTCAGAGAGCTAAGCAAAAACTGATGTCTGCAAACAATGGATTGAAGCAGCACTAGAAAAAAAAAAACAACAAAAAAAAAAAAAACGAGCTAAAATGTCTCCACAACCATGTGAAAGACTGAAGTCCTACAGAACACCAAGCGTTACAGCTGCAGGAGGCGGTTCTGTTGGATCAGGGGCTGTAAACAGTTGAAGGACATTTTATAAACAATTAATCAAATGTTAGATGCAGTATTGTATTTTATACTTTTTGATCATTGCAAATAAGGTTAAAGCAGACAAAGAGTTGGTGCATCTTATGTGTTCTCTCTCTAGTCTAAACAAAAGATAAATACATTATAAGCTCAATTCATCATTATAGTAGAAAGAAGTTGTCAGTGTTTTGCAGAGTCTCTGCTCAGAGCAGGGCTGCTGTGTTTTGTTTTGGTTTTAGCTCAGGTCTTACACCGAGGCCTGCTGAGTGCTGTACTGTGAACCTGATTGGACTCAGAAGATTGAGAATAAAGTTTTGGGAAGAAATCCAGCGGGTCCTGCTTTTATTCAGACATACCATTTTGAACAGCGCATTTTATTTTTACACAGTCTCTGTTTAATAAAGAATGACTCTGTGACATCTGTTTTATACACTTCAGGTCAGATTTGGATCATTTTAGAACCTGGTAAAGACTGGATCAGTTTAATTATGTCCTCAGAAATAAAACTGGAACTGAAAAAGTCTGGACTCTTTCTTTTTTTCCCTAGGAGAATAAAAACCAKGTGTGATTTCACTCTCAGCTCTAGTGTTGACCTTTGACTTCTGTCTCTGTGGGAAGGGCAGCGAATGGGGTGTTCTTTTAAACATCCAATAGGAGAACAGCAGTGGTGATTGAAAAATAGAAGATTCAATCAGGATTAGAGRGGCGGGGCTGTAAACTTTCCTCCACACTCAGACCAAAGTCTCTGCACAGCTAAATAAACTGTGGTTCAGACTGCAGCACAGCTTCCTGTCTGACTGTAGTACTAGTCCCTGCACAGGTCTGACTGTAGTACTAGTCCCTGCACAGGTCTGACTGTAGTACTAGTCCCTGCACAGGTCTGACTGT